TAGGCAAATTATTTTTTTCTAGTTCTAAAAAAGCATCTTTTTAAAGCAAAATTGGATACACGCTTCTATTATTCCATTCACGTTTACATTCTGGCGTGTCTGATAAGGCTACTGAATCATACAATTCTTACCATAACTACACTGGGGCACATTTTGGAGCTTTTGGTAAATATGAAAGTATGAAGGTTTGTTTGCATATGTAGTTCCACATGTTTCCCTAAAATTAAATAGGGAAACCAGACTAACGATGCAATGGTTAACTACCAACACACAGCAGTGCAATGCCCCTCCTTCCTCAGTGGCACTATTTAGATCAGAATTTGCTCAGGGAATCATCTGCTTTTTCTGTTTTAGAGGTACTTCACCTTCTTAGCACTTAACATTAATACTAAGTTGGTTTCCCCGTAACTAGAATAGTTATAACTTGGAATGGAATCTTAAGGTCCCAGGATGCCTGCTCAATCTAGAATTACTACCATTTTAATTCTCGTCCTTGCTTCCCCTTTCCAGAGTGAATGCAGCTTTTCACAAGCTGTACTTCAACTTTAAAAAGAAGAATTTATAAATCTTAAAAAAAAAAAAAAAACAGGGACAAGAAGATCACATTCTGGTGATACTGGATACAGTATTCTACCCACCCCCAAATGCATTGTATGTGGAGTGAATAATATAATAATTTTGTACCTTACTGTATATTATTTGTAATATTTTAATTCAATTTTTCACAGTTAGATTACTAAAGCACAACAGTAACCTCTCTATCTTAAAAACACAATTTCTCAGGACAAACCTCGGACAGTCTACAGCAGTGTTTCTCAACCTTGTCAACTTCAAGGTGTCTGGACTTCAACTCCCAGAATTCCCCAGCCAGCATTGACAAGGTTGAGAAACACTGGTCTACAGTATACCACCCACTATACTTAACTGGAAAGGAGGATACTCATATTTTCTTGAACGTTAAACAATACGCTTCATTAGCTTGCTCTAGAATCTCACTAGTGCAGGTTAAGGTTCGTTCTTCTTTAGCTATGTCAAACTTGTAACTCACCATTGGCTTATGATTTGGGAAATGACATGACAACTTTTATGCTGTTTACTGAATTCATATAAAATATTAAAAGAGGATTGTTTTTGTAGCCAGGAAAAAAAAGCTAGCACCAAAGAAATAGCGTCTTCTACTCATCACCCAAAGTAGTCTTTTTCATAACAAAATAAAATAACGAAGAAGACTAGAAAACACCAAAATCGTAAGAACACATCTGGCATTTGTGCTTGGCAAAAAATAATAAATTTTGGATCTAGTACCCAAGCTATTTACAAAACATGCTTTCACTAAGGAAGGATTCTCTTCTGGTTTTACAATTTAAAAGAAATAAGGGAATAGACCAAACATGACTTGTAATAAAACAACGATATAAGTTAGCATTTCAATGAATGAACTTTCATTAAATGGGTTTTACAATTTTCATAACACCATAACAGATACCCAAGCAAGCTAAAGAATGCCCCGATAGCAAGGATGATAAATGAATTGCCCTACTGGTTTTAAGATCGTATCTGTAAGAATTAATACTTTGGTTTTCAAATGGGCAGAAGTGCTAGGTTTATCCACGATTGCCCCCTAAAAATAAGATTAACTGAATCAAAAGCAAATTGCTCTAAATTCTAGTAAGTGCACTATTTTTACTAAGTTGTGTATATGCAATTAAAATAAAGCAACTGTGTTCCACACCATAGGAACAATAACCTCTTATCTCCCTTTTCATTCTCTTGTGCACAATTAACAAGTTACCAATGAAAGAGCAGCACATAACCTAATGATGTGATATTGGAAAGCTGAAATCTGAATCTTCCATCTATTCTTAAAGAATCAGCAATACCGATGGGAGGACCCTGAACTGTATCGTGCTTTACCAATTAAAATTCTCCAGTCCCATTGCTATTTATTCTATGAGGAAAAACATGTAGATTAAGAGATTAAAAATATGCATTATTTTTACAGATAGAAGACATGAATAACTAAAATCTTATGATTTAAAGGTTTTCTACTTATTACATATTTTCTTAGCAGAGGCCCACAATATATATTTTTTAATATTACCGCTCCTATTATTGCATCACTTAAGGTGTTGTTTTTGATTCAAACACATATAGATAATACTGCTGCTTTTAGAATTGAGCTTTATGTCACCTTGGCAAAATGTGTTCCAAAACCCATACAGTATTTAATGTTCTTTTTCCTCAATAATCTGATGATTGACTTTGATATATACTCAGATAGTCCAAGTAGTTTGGTGAAAAGGAGAAAGACGAGTTTAGCTTATCCTGCATCGTTGATTTTCCAAGTCTGTTCCAAAGTTGGTTTTTCCCTTTTCCTCTACAGTTAAACTCACTTCTGGGCCAGTAACAGGAAAAATACATACATTCATTCTTACAGACATGTATATAAACAGGCAATCAGGGGAGGGGTGATAATAATCTCCCACACTGACTTATCTCTACAAATATCCAACATCTCATTCTTGCATTTGCCATAAGAATTTCCTTGAGTATCTTTCTTAAAACCAAAAGATAAAATAATAAATGAAATATTATGGAAAGCACAGACTTAGGAACTGTTCTTTTGGCACGCAATCAGCAAAAATCTGTCTGATTTACTGCCTATGCTACTTATTGCTTTCTTTATTTAGGACCTGTACAGGAATAAAGCTGGGATAAAAAGGGCAGAATAGTGGGATTCTAAGGCTAAAAACAGAATTATTATTTTTTTAAGTTTGGTAGGTTGTAAAATCTAGCTTATTCCACTGGCAAAAGGAATTTTAGCACAAGTTCTGTTTCCTGGCTTCAGTGGCATGAATTAAATTTCCTGTTCCACCACATCTTTTCTTAGTCTTCTTTATTTTACTTAAAAGATTAAACACTTTGTAGTGTTAAGAGAATCTTGCAAAATAACAGCATGTGTGTTATTAGTGCCATCAAATATTTGTAACCCACTCATATCTTGTTATGGCTTATGATATCAGAAATTTAAAACTGGAAGAGAGCAAACTCTTATAACAAACTATTGACCTGCAAATAGCTTTATGCTTAAATGGCCTTCTTGACTCTGGAGCTTTTCGTTGGAGTAGGAATGAAGAATATGGCCTATGCAAGTCAACTGTGAATACACACATATATACTTCCATGAAAATGCAAGGAATTCAGTTTGCTTAAGGGTCACGTCACATTTTAGAATGATTCGCTGGCTTACTTGCCAATATATGTGGAGAACCTCTTAATCATTAAAACATAAATGATTGTCAGCGGTCATTTACTTTATTCACCTCACGGGTTTACCCAACTTTCCTTATTTGGCTTGGGATATATGGGACTGATAATCCCTTTCAGATGATTTACCTGAATTTTAGAAAGCATGATAAGATTTACTTTTTAAATTCGTTTTCTTTTTATTGCGATTTGAGTGTGCTGCCTTGTTCTTCACTGAAAGCGAGTAAAATTGCCACAAATTGACATGTACGTATTCTGATATGAAAGGGAAATTCTCTGTTTAAAGGGATCGGGGTGGATCTGGCCGGGAAGGTGATAGGGGCCTAGTTTAATTAGAGTGGGAAAGGAAAAGGGAAAGCACTTGAAGAAAAGGGATAGAGGAATGCTGATCGTTACTTGCCAGGCCTGGAAGTGCCCTGAGTTGTGTAGAATAGATGACACGAGTGTGTCAGTAATGCCATCCTCAGGCGCTGAGATGAACCTCCTGACATTGTCCAGAGGCTGCGGGACACACACTGGATGGGCATATTCTAAAAAAGGAGAAAAAACTCCTGACAATATTATTAGACTGAAGCTAATAGAAACACAGACTGGTGAGGGACACGTAAGGTGGCCAGTAGATAAGACCACTGGGTTTAATACAGGAGAGCCTTGTCATTGTTGAAGAACAGGATGGAAGTGGCATCCAGGAAAGCTGGATTATGGTTGGAAACGTGACCTCTTAAAAGCAAATGAAAAAGAAAAAGTAGCAAAAAAAAATACTACAGAAGGAGGGAGGGAAGTTTGGGGTAGATCCTTTTGAGTAGAACAAAAGATAAATCTAGAAATATTCCGCAGACATCCAATTTGGATTTCGAAGTCGGAAGCAAATAGTGCTAAAAAATAAGCCAGGCATTTCTGTTTCAATTGCAAGATAACAAAACTAAAAGAGAGCTGAAGGGAAAAAATTGATAATAATAATAATAATAATAATAAAATAAATACAATAGGGGCATTTGTTCATCTATACAGTATATCCACAGTATAAAGTCAACTGAAAAAAAAGAGTCCATGGAAACAAAAGAAAGGGGCTCCAAACTATCCTTTCCACACTTATTAACTCTCCCTTGAGAAACTTGTTCCTATGTGGGACAGCAGGCTCTGAAAATTCATTTATTGCTCTAATGCTGCCACACTATTTGTCCAGGAGTGCCTATCTGAATGTTTGCAGTTTACAAGCTGTGGGCATGCTGATTATATTAAACTGATCCAACAAAAGGAATTAGGAAAGGGGGGGGGGGGAATCAAGCAAAAGAACAAGATTCTGTCCCCAAAATAAATGCTCCTCAATTTGCCTTCTAATTAAATAAACCCTTTTTTCTCTTTGCTGATCTGACATTTACCTAACAAACAATATATTTGTACACCTCTGTCCCGTCCCTCCAACGCTCAGCTTTCAGCAAGAGTTTTTCTTTACCATGAGACGTTACAGGCATCACAGGTAGTAGGAAAGAACCAGGAAACCAAGAAAGGCTACCTGTTATTTTCAGTTATTTTTCAAATAAACTGAGTGTGCTGGACTCATCCTAGTGCACATCTTAAGTTAGCAGTTTGCTAATCAGGGATGAAAGGGAACATACAGAGAAAAAGAAAAATTTTGGAGAAAAGCAACTGCCCGCAAAATTAAACATAAAAACCAGAAACCATGATTGGTGTTATAGATAGATATATAGATATATATATATAGGACCTACCAGGAGTGTGAACAAAATACGCCAAGTAAAGATCCAGTTCTTTAATTGTGACTCCAATGTGATGCGGCTGGACGCAAAGGCCCGGGTTTGAGCACTGCGGCGACTTGTATAGCCGCTCCCCATCAGTACTTTCAAGGGGGATCCCTTTGAACAAGATGACCATAACTAGGTCCAGCCTCCAAACCTTGTCAGCCTGCCTCAGGCAGTCAATCCTGCGAATTTTGCCTTTCTGATCTGGATTGGAGAGAACACAACAAGGTGCTTTCTTGCCCGTAATGGTCAAAACAAAGTCCTCACGGAACTCAGGGCGGATATCCTTGCGTAGCTTGGCCAGGAGTCGGGATGCCCATTTCTGCTTTATCTCGGGCTTTTCACCAAGTAATTCATCCTTCACCGCTCGCTCCTCATCTTTCGACATTCGCTTCTCGTGCTTCTTAAAGTACTTTCGCTTCCGAGCTTGCAGGTTGAACCATGTGTAGGAAAAGGCACGGACATGAGGAAGGAGAGCTTCAATGAAGGGGTGGAATTCATCCTGGGGAGAAGAGGGTGAGAAGAAAGGATGCAAAACAAAGAGAGGAAAAATCCATTAGAATAAGAAAATCAGGACCAGGGGGGGGGGGTAGAGCATCGCGACGTGAAATTTATAGGACGGGGTAGAGAAACAGCAAACTGAGAACACATAAAGCCAAGCTCGGAATGTGATTAATCCAGCTAAAAAATAAATAAATACTATACTAGAAGAAGAAGGACAAGCAGGAATTTGGGGAGGTGGGAGGGGGGGGAGAGAGAAAACAGTAGAATTAATATTGTTTCGACAATGCGTTAGTATGGAAATCTAAAAAAAAAATCAGCATAAAGTTGTGGAAGTAAAATTTCACTTCCTTTAAAAATAAAAGCACTGAAGTTTGTTCAGCAACGTAGGAATTAAAGACAAAATCAGTTCTGTCCTAAACCCAAAGCTCTAAATATTCTTTATTCATTGAAATAATTTCAGTGGGTCTTCTAACTTTTATTTCAAAAATAAAAATTTCCCCACAACAAAAGCATCCAGGAAGAAAAAACAAAACAGTCAAGAATGGAAATAATTACCATTGCTCTGTCTCATCCCGGCGAAGCTAAGCCCCCGATTCAGAAATTCTGGGCTCAGAATTGCAGAGAATAGAAGGCGGACGATATTGTGGGTATATACGGGGTGGAAGGTGAGGAGGAAAAAAAAAAAAGAGGAATGCAGAACAGTACGGAGGAAGGGTACACAAGAGTCCTGGATATTTCTTAAATTAAGTAGAAAATAATTGTTGGCTGCATCTTTCACTGCAAACTGTTCGCCAAAATGTTCAAGTCTTGTTTAATAAAAAGAGCGGGGAAGCAAAAGGGAAGAATGAAAAACTGAAATAAAGCAGCTAGGAAGGGGGAACCTCAGCCAAAGACAGAAATAAATCAACATCACTCTGCCTGTGCCACATGCACAAAATAGGTTAAAAATGCCAAAGGGCTGGTTAAAAAAAAAATACTAGCAACAATAACACAATAATGGTGATAAAGGGAAGAAGGAAACAAAATTTAAAAAAATAAATAAATAGGAAGGACAACAGCAACTAATCAGACGGGGGAAGCTGAGACCAGAGAATAATCTCTCCCAGCGTTTGGCAGAAATGCAAAGATGCAACTTAGATGTGGCTCCCTCCGCCTGAGAATAGGGGTGATCGCAGGTCTAGGGGAAAAGGGGCAGACTCCACTCTGGGATCAGCTGTGATCGGCTGCTGGCAAAACCCAGCTGCTGGGGTATGGGGTTTTTTTGTTGTTGTTGTTTCCCCCCTTTTTTTTCCTTTCCCTTTTTCCTCCTAAACTCTCTGGCTTGCTTGCTTCCTCCTTTCATGCTCGGTCCCAAACCATTTGCCTTTGCCAATGCCAGCAGAAAAAGAGAGAGAGAGAGAAAGAGAGAGAAGGGGGGGGGGGAGAAGGATCCACCTATTTGGCAAAGAGACTATCGTGGAGCAGCCAATGGCTGCATCAAAGGAAAAGGGAGGTGGAGGGGGAGGTTGGCAGAGAAGGAATCAGGGAGGGGGTGGCAGAGAGAGAGAGAGAGAGAGACACAGAGAGAAAGAGACTCTGCTGTTAAGAGACTGAAAACAATTTGCCAAATCGACAAGTTCGTATCTAACAAATAAGCGAAGTCCAGCTGCAATGGCATTTTTATTGGCCAGCAGATTTTGGCTAGAATGCAACTTGAAAAATATTTTAAATAAATAAATCTCCTAGGATACACCCCAAACTCATATCCCACCCACCCACCCACCCCGAAGACAGACCCACAGGCCTCAGAGAAAGCAGCTGTTCTGCCTTTCTCTCTCCATCTTATTCTCCTTCTGTCACCTCTTGGCCCAACTATTTCCAGGAAAAGATCTGTTCAACTATAATACTCTTTTAAGATTCAATCTGATTTAGCTTACTTTTTTCTTAGTTCAAGCGGTGTTGGGAAGTCACTGTCCTCAGTACATTTTTTTCATAAGTTCCTGTTATCTATCTCAGGCTTCAGCCAGCCAGTCTGTCCTGTTCCTAGCAAAATGTTTTCTGCACATTTCCCCTTCCTTCTGCCGCTTCATCTTAACATTTGCCAAGAACTTCAATCTTTAGTGTTGGCCGTCAATCATTCGTTTTGATAAAATTATTTACGTCTTCTAACCCCAAATCAATAAACCAAGCATGGCAAAACTTAAACATAACTGCAGAGTTGGAACTATCCCGAAACTTTTTTCAAGAGCAGCTATTTTAAGATATTTCATCACCACACACTTTTTGCTACCTGGCTTTTTCGATTGTGTTGCAAGTTTAAAACAAAGAGCATCAGGAGAGCTGATTTAAAATGGTATAAATTAATTTCAGATAGAGAACTCTAGGAAAAAGGAAAAATAGTACAAAGAAAGACAACAAAAAGAAAACGTGTAATAGTTACATATTATATAATACAAAAATATACTATATGTATGTACAAATACACATTATATACCATATAGTGCCGTGATGGCAAACCTATGGCACGCATTCCACAGGTGGCACGCAATGCCCTCTATGCAGGCACGCAAGCCGTCGCCCCAGCTCAGCTCCATCACGCAGGCATGCGTGCCTCCCAGTGGCTAGCTGATTTTCAGGTCTCGGACACACATGTGGGAGATGCACAGGGGCGGGAGAATTGGGAGTGGGTGTGCCCCCTCCCTCCCCGTGGCCCATTTTTGATCCCAGGAGGCTTCAGGGAGGCCTGCTAGGCCCAAACAAGGGGCGCAGTGGTTAGAGTTCAGTACTGCAGGCCACTTCAGCTGACTGTTATCTGCAGTTTAGCGGTTCTAATCTCACCGGCTCAAGGTTGACTCAGCCTTCCATCCTTCCGAGGTGGGTGAAATGAGGACCCAGACGGTGGGGGCGATATGCTGACTCTGTAAACCGCTTAGAGAGGACTGAAAGCCCTATGAAGCGGTATATAAGTCTAACTAAAAAAAAACGGGGGAGGGGGTTGGGGCTTTCGGCATGCGAGGACATAAAGCCGTCAGTGATATAATGTGTAAGATTGAGGTAATCAAATGGAAGAAGAAATAAAAAAAGATAAAATGGGGAGTTTGTAAAGAGGATTAAAAATATGGGCGAGAAAGTCAATAATAATGATTGTGATTATTAATAACCATCGTACAATGATACCTTTAATACCATCAAACAACAGTATCTGCTTATCCCAGGTCTTTAGGAAGGACTCAATAGGTGGATAAAAATACCAAATCCAGTCTGAACTTCTGACTGACTATGTGACAAACAATAATAATAACAACAACAACAACATCTTCAAGAACACTAAAAGAAAAATTGTTTATTGTCAAATAAATATACAAAAATTGAAAACAAAGAAATAATGACTTGTTACAAATCAATTGCAAATGGCAGCTGTACTTAGAATAGCTTATAGTCCAGAACGAACGCCTTTAATATTATTATTAAACAACATCTGCCTATCTCAGGTCTTTGGAAAGCATTTGATAGGTGGACAAAAATGGCAAACCCATATGAGCATCTGACTGACCATGTGCGCAACCTTATTAATAACCAGTCCTCCAAAGCCTATGGGGGCATTTTAGAGAGACCTGGGAAGCCATTCTTACTTTATTATAACTGAACCTGGTTTGCTTGTTCGAATCAGCTCATCCATTATCCAAGCACTTTATCAACTTCTCATAGGGCAACAATAACAGAGAAGCCCAATTTGCAAAGAATTTGGGGCACTACTCATAGTGTACATTGCTCTTTGCACTCATAGCTTGAGTATTTCTAGTTTTGACTATGCTTACGTGAGTGCGGCCCCTGATATACCAAATACACTCGTGGTAGGCAGTCGATGGAGATAGCATGAAAGTCAGACCTACGCGGAGCCTTTTCTAATGCCCACTGTTAGCTCTAGGCCTCGTTGCCAGGATTTCAGCAGCCAAGTAGACTGGCTGATGAGAGCTCCAGATTTACATTTGCAAATCATAAGTGAAGGTTCGCCCTGCTCAGCTTAAATGGGGGGTGGGGTGGGGAGGACACAAATGGCTGCTTCTCGTTTCTGTCCACCCACAAATCTGGCATTAGCCAGTTCGTTGGAATAGGATACAGGACCATCCAGGCCTCTTCCCACACATAAACTGATTGCTAGCTTGGGGAAAGTGTAGGCTGCCCCACACCACTCAGAGACCCCAAGTATCAAAGGACTGTGAGCAGATACCTAAGCCTGCTCCTTCTGCTCGATCACACAGATTATAGGTGAGCAAGAAGGCAGGCAGGCAGTGGAGGTGGAAAAGTTCTCTCCAGGCACAAAAGCTTGGAGATTAATTTTCTGCATCTGTGTCATGAGGGGGGTATGTGTGCAAGCTGAAGCATAAGGACGTAGAATAAAGAAGATAAAAGAAAAACGAACTGCCCTTTCCCCCTCTCTCCTCTCTAGCCATCCCCCCCAAAGATTTTCAAAATAAGTTGGTGAAATTTAAAACTCATTTAACCCTCTCTTCCTCATTACTTGGGAACGTAAAGACTCCCAACTTCTTATATACAGAATTATTCCTTTCAATTAATGTATTTCTTTTAACTTCTAAGCAACTAATACATTTTTTTAAATTTAATATAAGATTTGATATGGAACTGAAATATGTTATTCCTCTATGTAAAAAAAGGCATTGCCCAAAATAAGATTTTAAAAACAACTCTAGGGATACTTATGAGAAGCTGCAAATAAGTACAAATATCTTTCTTCCCCTCATAAAAGGAGTGCCAATATCCATGTTTTATTCAATTTTCGGTCATGTACAAACAACCCCAGACGTGAATTCGGTGCTGAAGCCCTTCGCAATATTTTTTGTCTCAATATAATCAACCCCCTGAACTGATTATAAGATCTCATTAGCCCTAACAATACCAGTCTATAATATGATGATACTCGGTCACAGCTAAAATTCTGGTGTGCTCTTTTTACTTTTATAATACATTAAATCAAGCACACGTGTAATTTAATCGTTA